CTACGCACTGTAGATCGCCGCCTCCGAGAGAAAGTGGAGAGTAAGAGGAGCGCAGAGATGAGAGACAGGGGCAGCAAAGGCAGCAGGGGCAATCGCATCAGCATCAGGAGCATCAGCAAGATCAACAGGAGCATTATCAGCAGCGGAAGGAGCAACAGAAGCAACAGGAGCAGCAGGGGCGGTAGGTGTAACAGCAGGATCACCAACAGCAGTAGCAGGCGCAACAGCAGAATCAGCATCAGTAGGGGCAGCAGCAGGAGCAGTCGGGGCAACAAGAATATCGGCATCGGCAGCAGGAAGAATAGGAACGACAATAACAACAGCAGCAGCAGTAGAATCGAAAGAAGCAGCAGCTGCAGGAACAGCAGAAACAGCAGCACAGCAGTAGAATCCAAAGGAGCAGCAGTAGAATCCAAAGGAGCAGCAGCTGCAGTAACAGCTGACAGCAGCAGCAGCAGTAGAATCCAAAGGAGCAGTAGCTGAAGCAGCAGCAGCAGTAGAATTAAAAGAAGCAGCAGCTGCAGCAACAGCAGTAGAATCCAAACGAGCAGCAATAGAATCCAAAGGAGCAGCAGCTGCAGCAACAGCTGAAGCAGCAGCATCAGTAGAATCGAAAGGAGCAGCAGCTGCAGCAACAGCATTAGGAAGAAGCAGCAGCTGAGGCAACAGCAGTAGCAGTAGGAAGAAGCAGCAGCTGCTGCAACAGCAGAGGCAGCAGCAGTAGAATCGAAAAGAGCAACAGCTGCAACAGCAGCATCAGTAGAATCGAAAGAAGCAGTAGCTGCAGTAACAGCAGAAGCGGTAGAACCAAAAGAAGTTGCAGCAACAGCAGCAGTAGAATCGAAAGGAGCAGCAGCTGCAGCAACAGCAGAAGCAGCAGCTGCAGTAGAATCGAAAGGAGCAGCAGCAGCAGTAGAATCGAAAGTAGTAGGAAGTAGCAGCAGCTGCAGCAAAAGCAGCAGCAGCAGTAGAACCATAAGAAGCAGCAACTGCTGCAGCAGCAGTAGGAAGAAGTAGCAGGTGCAGCAACAGCAGCAGTAGAATCGTAAGGAGCAGCAGCTACAGCAACAGCAGTAGGAAGAAGCAGCAGCTGCGGCAACAGCAGCAGCAGTAGGAAGAAGCAGCAGCTGCAGCAACAGCAGAAGTAGCAGCAGCAGTCGAATCAAAAGGAACAGTAGCAGTAGCATCGAAAGAGGCAGCAATGCAGTAACAACAAAAGAAGTAGGAAGAAGCAACAGCAGAAAACAGCAGCAGCAGTAGGATCGAAAGAAGCCGTAGCTGCAACAACAACAGCAGTAGCATCGAAAGAGGCAGCAGTTGCATCAACAGCAGAAGCAGCAGTAGAATAGAAAGGAACAGCAATGCAGTAACAGCCGAAGCAGTAGGAAGAAGTAGCAGCAACAGCAAAAGCAGTGGCAGCTTTTACTTTTCTGTTTTTACGATCTCTTCATTTACTTCTCATCTTGTTTCCTTTTACCCCTTATTCTTGTGTTGTTTTACGTATTTTAAATTAGATGCCAGTTCTTTTACTGTTTTTAAGCCCTTTGATGCCTTTTGCACATTGTTTTTATAGTTCATTTTAGGATTTCTTTTGTATTATTTTATGTACCATCTTCATATCGGTCACGATCCTGGTAGACCTGCATCTCCGGAATAGTTTTGCTTGTGAGGTCAAGTTGGTTCCAAGCCTTCAGCTTGGCCCCCTCACTCCCTTTGCGAGGAACAAACGGGGCCCCCTCATTTTCCTTGGCCCCTAAGCCTGAAGTCTCCCGCCTCACATAACCTTACATGGGTAATGCAGGCAAGGAGATCGACCACATCCTTGTTAGCACTCGATAGGATCCTCCAGAACTGCAGGGTGTGGGTGTGGTGCTGATCAGAGATTATTTGTGGCTACCATCCAAGTCCACTTCAAAAGTCCCCATCGGTCCAATGATCACCTAGGGTGTTTCAGTTGGACAGGCTGTGGGAGGAGGAGTGAGCCCTGTAATTCTGGGGGACACCTTTAAGTGCGAAACGTTCAATGCAGCTCAAGATTGATTGATGAACGCCCAAGAGCAAGACAGAATTTTATCTCACAAGAGACGCTGGTAGCTATAGATGCTTGTTGTGTGGCTTGGCTGACAGGGGATTGGAATTTGCATTATTCTCAAGTGCACAGGACTCGGTCACTGTTGAGAAAGGACAAGAAGAGTTTATTTGGAGTATTGCAGAAGAGGTCGAAGGTCATTTAGTGAATGCCTTCGTCCTGGCCTACCAAGCCCTCTTCACAGGTGACTGCAGTCCGGTCAGTAGGTGGCCAGATCGTCTCAGATCCTGTTCTGGTTATACAAGGTTGATCCACCAACAGTTAACTTGGATATGGTAATGTAGAGATTCATTGCCGGACCCACCATTAGTGAGGATCCACCCTCCCTAAATGAATGTGGTAACGCAGCAGGTATTTGCAGCATCCAGCTGAACTTATAGGCTGCTGTTGAACCCAGGACACAGGCGTTGC